TGTTAATCTTAAAATATCTACTATTAATCTTCCATAAATATTTACAGCCTTGGAAACCCTATACAGGGTCACTATGAGTTGGAATCAACTCAACGTCACATAACCACCACCACCTATATGGCGACACTTTCTTGAAATTACTTATCCAATATATCTTTATTCACTATTTTATTTTCAACATTTATGTGTCCTTATATAGAAGATTGGAGTCCTGGTGTGGTGCTGTGGGTTAATGAACCAGACTGCAAAGCCATTTGAACTGCAAGGTTGGCAGTTCAAGCTCACCATCTGCTCCTCGGAAACCCATAGGGTCGCTATGGGTTGGAATCAACTTGACTCAATGGCAGTTAGCAACAACATGTAGAAGATTGTTGTTGTTGCTATTAGGTACCATTGACTCACTTGCAACTCAAAGCAACCTTATGCAACAGAATGAAACACTGCCTGGTCTGCGCCATCCTCACAATTATTTTTACATTTTAGCCCATTGCTGCTAACACTATGTTAATGCATCTCATTGGGAATCTTCCTTCTTTGCACTGACCTTTCACTTTACCAAGTATGATGTCCTCAGAGAATGGCCCCTCCTGATAACAAGTCTGAAGTATGAAAGATGATGTCTCACCTTCCTGGTTTTTAAGGAGCATTCAGGCAATACTTGTTTCAACAAAGATTTGTTTGTTCTTCTGAAAGTTCATGGTATTTTAATGTTCTTCTCCAATTTCATAATTCAATTGCATTGATTCTTCTATAGTATTCCTTATTCAATGTCCAACATTCACATTCATATAGCAATTAAAAATACCATGGCTTGGATTAGGCACACGTAGTCCTCAAAGTGACAGTTGATTTCTTTAATACTTTAAAGAAGTCTTGCTCAGCAGATTTACCTAATGCAATATGTTCTTTGATTTCTTGGCTACTGCTTCCATGAGTATAGATTGTGGATCGAAGCAAAATGAAGTATGTGACAACTTCAGTCTTTTTTTCCATTTATCATTATGTTATTTTTTGATCCAGTGGTAAGAATTTTTGCTTTCTTTACATTGAAGTGCAATCCATACAGAAGGCTTTCTTCTTTGATCTTCAACAGTAAGAATTTTAAGTCCTCTTTGCTCTCAGCAATCATTTGCAGGTTGTTAATGAGTCTTCCAATACTGATGCCATGTTCTTCATATAATCCAGGTTTTTGGATTATGTGCTCAGCATAAGAAATAAATTAAGTATGGTGAAGAATACAATCTTGGAGCCCATCTTTCCTAATTTGAAAGCCTTCAGTATCCCCTTGTATTTTCCTAACACTGCCTCTTGGTCTGTATTAAGGTTATTCATAAGTACAATTAACTATTCTGGAATACCCATTCTTAGCAGTGTTATCCATAGTTTGTCATGATCTATACAGTAGAAAGCCTTTGCATAGTCAACAAAGCACAGATATGTGTTTTTATGGTATTCTCTGTTTTCAGTCAAGACACATTTAACATCAGCAATGATATTCCTAGTTCCATGTTCTCTTCTGTATCTGGTTTGAACTTCTGGCAGGTCTCTCTCAGTGTACTGTTGCAACCATTTTTGGATTATCATGGATAAATTTTCTTTGCATCTTACATCATTGATATTGTTTGCTGATTTCCCCATTCCTTTGGGTCACCTTTCTTTGGAATGGGCACAAATATGGATCTCTTCTGATCAGTTGACCAGGTAACTGTCATCCAAATTTCTTGGTAAAAATGAATAAGCACCTCCAGTATTTCAGTTTGTTGAGAGATATCAATTTGTATTCCATCAATTCTGGAGCTTTATTTTTAGTCAATACCTTCAGTGCAGCTTGGACTTCTTCATTCAGTACCATTGGTTCTTGATCATATGCTACCTCTTGACATGGTTAAATATCAACCGTTTCTTTTTGGTACAATGATTCTGTGTATTATTTCCATATTCTTTTGATGCTTTGTGTATCATTCCCCTTTGTTGCTGTTGTTAATTGCCCTTGAGTCAGTTCTTACTCATAGCAACCTTGTGTAGGGTTTCTCAGGAGTAACTGGTGAATTTGAACTTCTGACTTTGCAGTTAGCCATCTAGTGTGTGGTGCTGC